TGCAGGTTGAGACTGGAGATCTGGGAGATGTATACAAGATTCGGGTCAGCTGTGATGATGTGCCAGGCTTTGAGGGCTGGCATTTGAAGTCTTTTCACTTAGAAGAGCTACATACAAAACAAGAACTGAACTTTGACTGTAAGTGCTGGCTCTCTCTTAACAGAGAAGACAAGGAGCTGGTGAAAGAATTCCCTGCAGTCAATGAGGACCAGAAAACTTTACCAGGTAAAAACAGTGAGAAGATATAACCAATGTAAACTAACCTCTTGAAAAGAAATCAGTGCCACAGATATAACACAGCACTTTGTCTGAATTTGATATCTTCAGTGGCTCTATTGCAATTGTCTTCATATATGCACTGCGAAAACGCTGACCACTTAAGAAATTTTAATTTTCCAGTTAAGTCACATATTGGGTTCCACAGTTGCTAAATCTTCTGTATGATTCTAAGTGGGCAAAACTGACCAATATAATTATACTTTTTAAAGATAAAGCACATGTTCAAAGCCATGGAAATTATTTGTAGTAGGCTTACTATTGAATTACATAGCTTATAATAGCCTTAGTTACTAACACAAGTATAGGAAGTAATCCTCATTGTACAAAAAAGTTTTTTATTTGTTTTTCCCTAAGGACTATTTTTTTGACATGCTGAGAGTTTCAGAGTATGTTTAGAGATGCACTTGGAATGTGAAGACCTATAGAAGTACCACATTTGTTCAGAAAATGTGGCAGTTACACATGAGATAAAAGTAATTAGAGACATGACTGCTTTTCTAAACTAAAGTTCCAGAAGTTCTGGTCCCTGAATACCTCAAACCTATTCATGACCTTAAAAGAAACTATAGCATTATGTTAGTTAAATGTTAACTCAGCAGGGCTGTACATTAGAAATAACATTTGAAAAATTTTGGTTATTCTTTATGTATGAGTATGAATATATGTGCAATACAATGATGTTTCTCAGAAGAAAATCTAATCTGATTGTGTAGAAGTGCATTTATACAGGAGCACTACAGAGACAAAAAGTTTATAGTTCCTGTCATGCACCTTAAATTAATAAGTGCATTTTGTAAATTTTTATACTTATATGTCATGCATCCAGATATTATGCTACATCTCTGCTATTCTAATTTGCATAAACTTTACATAGTGTCTTATTCTTTGACCTGTGATAGTTATTATCTACTGCAAAGATAATTCAGTTTCTAACAGTCCCTGAACAAACTCAGATGAGTTCTTATTTTCCAGATCTTGCACAATAAAATAGAATCGGGCAGAATTTGTCTAGTTATTAGTAGCTCTAAGCTGCATAAGTCTAAATTGTCCAAGTCCAATTTCCTTTGAATTTCTAAGGAAATTAATGGAAAGTCTTCATTGAGATTAGCATGAAGAGATCAGATTCATAAAGAGTAATCTGACTATTTCAATCACTGTGTAGAAGATTTTTTTTGTAGCTGCAGAAATAAAAACAAGCAGTAGTCTTACTAAATACTCTGTGTTATTGTTTTCTTTTAGGTACACCTTGTACTTAATCAGGTTTATTTAAACATTTTTTTTTTCTGTACAGTCTATAAGTATGTTGTCTCTGTACATATTGGCGACCGCTGGGAAGCAGAAACATTTGCAAATGTTTATATCACTCTCTATGGCAAAAGAGGGGACACAGGTGTGAGGAAACTTCATACATCTTTAGCAAGATTAGCATGAAGAGATCAGATTCATAAAGGAGTAACTGGACTATTTCAATCACTGTGTAGAAGATTTTTTTGTAGCTGCAGAAATAAAAACAAGCAGTAGTCTTACTAAATACTCTGTGTTATTGTTTTCTTTTAGGTACACCTTGTACTTAATCAGGTTTATTTAAACTTTTTTTTCTTTCTGTACAGTCTATAAGTATGTTGTCTCTGTACATATTGGCGACCGCTGGGAAGCAGAAACATTTGCAAATGTTTATATCACTCTCTATGGCAAAAGAGGGGACACAGGTGTGAGGAAACTTCATACATCTTTAGCAGAAGGAAGAAAATTTCAAAGGAATAAGGTAATGGCACAGAAAATGCTGTCTTACCTGTGCAGGGATTAGTACTGCATTAAGTGTCATTTAATGCCTGCTCAGAATACATCTTGCTCCAGATGGGCAAGAATTTGGAAACAAAATTTACCTTCCAGATATTCACAGTAGACCAATGCCAGTGTTATTTCCTTCCTGTACAAGAACATCCCCACATGATAATAAAGGCTCGACATGAGCACATAGAAAACAGATTAATGGGGAGAAGCTCTGTCATCATGCCTCTTACTTCTTCCATTCCAAATATAGGACAGCACAGGTAGCAAAGAATTAAAAATCAGTGATTCAAAATAAGTTACAGAAGTTGCTGTGAGACTTTTGCAATCAATGATGTTTCTGTAACCACAATCCCACATGAAACACTAACTCAATGTCTAGTCAGTAAATTTAGACAAGAGACAAGAAATCCATTTAGAGAATGCACACAATAGCAGTGTTTCTAGATGACCAATAACAATACCATTCTTCTCTTGTGTATTAGGCTGTCCTATGAGAGGTTCACTCACTGAACACTGAAGTTTGAAAAAGCTCACTACCAAGATGTACATTGTCAAGGAGAGACTTAGATTTCTGTGAAATTATTTCATTAGACAATTACCACAGCACTTGGTAGGGTAAAAGTGGAATCAGTAACAAACTGAGAGAATTTCTAAATTTAATTTCTGCGTATATCTCAGGGCTATACCTATATACAGAAGATAACACTCCACAATAATTATTTTAATTTACCTTCATGAACAGATTTATTTCCTAAAATGTCTTAATTTAAAAAGTTAATGATTTCTGCTTACAATCTGGCTGTTGGGTCCTGACTATTGCTAGAAAAAAAAAAAGTATTTTTGTCATATGAATGTACTTTTAATATTAGTAGCAGAAAATCTTCTTCTCCAATATTTTTATTTAAAAAGTAGCAGGGACAACACATAGGACTTTGGCAAGTACTACATTTTTTTAGAGATCAGTTGGCTAATATCTTCTTTTTTAATTGTCTTGACATCTGGTTTAGTAAGTTCCTACTATTGAATTAATGTTTTATCAGGATGATGTTGTTATTTATAATCCTAGACATTTCTGTTTAAACTCCAGTTGTTCATAACCTTGTTGACCTTTATAAGCTACCATCAGGTCCATCTGGCCCTAGGCTGGGCCATATACAGAACACCTGGCTTTCTTACAAAACAAGCAAGAATTTAGTGGGGCATATAATTTCTTTCTTTGCATTTCAGCAACCTGATCTAGTTGAAGATGTCCCTGCCCACGGCAGGGGTGTTGGACTAGATGACCTTTAGAGGTCCCTTCCAACCCAAACTATTCTATGATTCTATGATTTCACATTTTTCCTTGTCTTCTTGTCTTTGTTGTCCCTATTCTCATCCACTGATGCCTGTGTTTACTTCTCTTTTTTCTTACTCTGCCTTCTCCATTCTGCTTCCCTTCCCGTCTCTCGTCTTTTGCTTAAGTTGTTCTCCACCTTCATCTTAACTTCCTCCCTTCTATTTCTTACTCTTTTCTCCACTTGCTGTTTCCGCAATTATTTTCATTTTGTAAGAAAAACAAAAAGACAGGCTTTTCTGACCATTGGAGAAGAATTTAGAAACATCTTGAAGTGAACACACTCTTTTTAGATTTCTAACTTTTCTTTAAGACTATTACTATATATCTAAGTTTGTATGATAAATTTTAGAAACTAGAAATACTCTGAAAGATAGAAATTTCGTTAGAACCAAAATCTTGTCATAACTGTTTGACTGTCAGAAGGTTGAGGTATATGCGTTTTATTGTAATATGAAATGATCCATATTGCCCTGTCGTGGTTTCAGCTGGGATAGAGTTAATTTTCTTCCTAGTAGCTGGTACAGTGCTGTGTTTTGGATTTAGGATGAGAATAATGTTGATAACACACCGATGTTTTAGTTGTTGCTAAGCAGTGCTTACTCTAGTCAAGGACTTTTCAGCTTCTCACGCCCTGCCAGCGAGAAGCTGGGAGGGGGCACAGCCAGAACAGCTGACCCAAACTGGCCAAAGGGATATTCCATACCATATGATGTCATGCTTGGTATATAAACTGGGGGAGTTGGCTGGGGGCTGGCGACCGCTGCTTGGGGACTGGCTGGGCATCGGTCCGTGGGTGCTGAGCATTGTGCATCACTTATTTTTTATATACTATTATTATTATTATTATTATTATTATTATTTTCCTTTTCTTTTCTGTACAATTAAACTGTCCTTATCTCAATCCATAAATCTTACTTTTTTTTCCCCAATTCTCTCCCCCACCCCCACTGGGTGTGGGGGAGTGAGCAAACAGCTGTGTGGTGTTTATCTGCTTGCCAGGTTAAACCACAACATGTCCAAAGATCAAATGAAGTTACAATGCATCATTAATGATGAATGTGGGATTCAATGTTAGGTATAATCAGTGTGTGCTTTCTTAAATTCAGAGGGGAGATGTTATGTTAAATATTACAAAAAAAAGACACAAATTTTAAATCCTCAGCTGAATCCAGGACTACATTTTCCCTGAAGTTCCAGCATATTTGGTTCCAAGCTCTGTTTTATTAAGTATATCCACCTTTTTTGCAGGTGGATTCATTTTTGGTGGAAGCTGTTTCTCTGAGTCATTTGCAAAAAGTGGTGATAGGACATGATAGAGAAGGCTACGGGGCTGGGATGTACCTCAAGATGGTAACAGTCAAGGAATCACAAGACTCAGAAAAAGAATGGGTCTTCCCATGGTGGGACTGGCTTGATACTCATCTGGGGTTATGTGAGACTGTTTGTGAGATTGTGACAGTTGGTAAGCTCTTCTGCAAAACTGGCCTGCCTGTTTTTATATATATATATATATTTTTTTTTTTTTTTTTAATTTGGCTACAGCTCTTTGAGATATCTATAGTATCTTTCTTTTATTGAAAATGTGAATTTTCAGTTTGATCTTACTATTATAGCAAAACCACATCTGATAAGGTCAAAGTTAATAAAATTCAATCTTGCCAATGTGTTACGTATGGAACACTCACCTTCTGAATTAAATTTAACACATTGCAATGAAAGATTTAAAGCAATTTGGGATGCATGCCTCATGGGGATAAATACTTTAAGTTTTATGCACTACTTTCAGGTAGCTTAGGATCTCATCTGAAATCCAGAGAAAAGTTACGTTAGTGAAATGAGCCTAGTCTTTACCTGTGGTATTATTCCACAGACAAAGCAACAGTTGCAGTATGCTCAGTTTCTGCACATTTCAAGCCTTCTATGCTACAAGTTGTTCAAATCTAAACCTGGCAAAAGAACACTTACAGCAGGACCTTTCGTCATTTAGAAATAGTAGAAAAGATTCTTTCCTTCAGCCCTGTGAAAACAATTCCATGTAAAGTAAATGAGCTACAAAAGTTTGCCCAGAGGGAGTAAAAGAGCTTAAAAACATAAGGTGCCCGTGATAGATATACAGGTATTCAGTTGCGTGTTTTTTCTGAGTTGTAGAAAGTACATTTTACTGAACTGTTCCTTTCCATTAAATAATTTTCATTTTCTATAGAATGGTTACAATGGAATGAAAATGAAGGATGACAACAATTAATGAAGAAAAAGGGAGGGAGATAGTAATATAGACCTTCTGAGGATCTGGCAAATATTTTTGTGTGTTTACTATAGGTTTACCTGTCAGTCTTGCACTATTACAGCACATTATATTGCTGGGTAAGATCTAGTTACAAGTGGAGTTCATTCAATGAACACAATGAATACAAAATTATTCGTTTTGTATTAGGTGCCTACTTGCTACAGATGGCTGGTGCTTCTAAATGATAAAGTGGTTTTAGTAACATTGATTGTATTTTTAAGAACAATTAATTAGACCTCTAAAAGGTAACTGAATGTTCTCTTAGTAATTACTTCTAAACATGACAAGGAAAATACCTTGGCATCAAGAAAATACATCTGAAACTAAATTTTAAACACAGAAAGAACATTAAGCTGTTAAATTCTTGGCAAAAAAATATAATAAAGGTACTGATGTGTTATTCTTAGTGAACTGTTGCTATAGATACAACATAACCTGCAAATAGAGCTCTGTGTACCGTAAAGGCTAAGATCCTGTTATATTATGCCATTCTCTCATGCTGTCATCTTTCCTCTTTCTCTTTGATCATTTTTAAAGGTAGAAGATTGATTTCTAGTCCTAAACTGCCTGAAATCAACATGAAGTCATCAGGTCTCTGGATAATGGACATCACTGGATCTGACTTGAGCAATGAAGAGGATCCAATATGTCTTTCTTTTATCTTCTACGGCAACCTGAGTCGCAAAAAGTTGCCACTTCAAGTTACAGGAAAAGCAATTCAGTTCAAAGTACTTCAGCCTTTCTCTATTGAAAAAAAAGCCTAAGAATCATGTAGCCGATAACCAACTTAATTCTGAGATAAATTGTTTCTTTAAACTAAACTACCAAATTGATTTTTAAGTCCTCTGTGTAGTTTGGCACAGGTCATCATTTTTGTTTGTAGGTAGTAACACTGTCACTTGAAAAATGGTTTTTGAATGAGCAGATTCTCCCAATGTCTCATACTGAGAATGCTTAAGTAAGCAAATTCGTCCCTTGGCGCATATCACAGCATATACCACACTGCAGGTACTGATTTACAGGTTTTGTTGATCTCACAGAAGTAAGTAAATTGTAAACATACAATATGCCATGGGATACTATAGAGCTTTTGGGGCCAATGATGGAGAAAGAAGAATCATAAATGAGATGAAACTTACAGAAAGTTCATTTTTCTCTTTCGTGTAATTTTTTCATCCCTGCCACATCCCTGTTTCTCCGGGCTAACTGCCTTTTCTCTCTCTTTTTGCTTGTCATTATCACTTTCTTTTTCCTTTTGATCAGCTCCTTTTTACCCACAAGTTTTCCCCTTTATTAAGTTCTTCTGCCCTTCCATTGTTTGTCTTCACTTCCTCCTGTTACCAATGAACTGAAATATTAACAAGCATCTGAGGTCCACTTTCATTGAATTGTAGCCTGCTTCTTTTGCCAATGCTCTTACTTCCCTCTTGTAGCTATAATTCCTTCCCAGTGCCAACACTGTGTTACTCTTATGCTTTTCTGGTTTTGCTCTCCATGAAGGACCAGTTCAGTAGAATTTGGAACTGACCTGAAGGTAAACACTGCAGACACCTCCTCTGGCTCAGGAGATCCCTGAGCCACAATGTGCTGGAAGCTGGGACAATATTCAAGGGAAGTGTGACTACTGCTTGTCCTGTTCTTGTACTGCTTGTTCCATCCTTCTGTAGTCCTTTGTGGGTTTTGAGGAAATGCTTGATCCCTGTGAGAAAACTGGAAGTTTTAATCTTGATTGGTTCCTCAGCCTTTGTTTTAACGTTGATCGGTTCATCCTGCAGCTGCAAAACAAATATAAGGCAGGACTGAGGGAATGGGAGCAAGTGGGCAGACAGGGAAGTGGGAATTTCACAAGCCAGCTTTGCATCAGAGAAATATGTCCATGAAGCCACATCCTGAAAGAAGTTTCTTCAGGATTGACTGCTGGAACCATGGAAGCAGGTAGCAAGAGAAAATCAGGAAAAAAAACAAAAAGGGGTGAAGATAGCCCTGGCAAAAAGCCCAAAGAGTGCATGAAAATATGTTACTTTTCATTTTGGGGTTCATCAGAAAGCAGCCTTGGAGTTGTGAACGAAGAAACTGTTTCCTGGTTCTTCTTCCTATTAGTCAGGTAAATTGAACTTAATGATTGAGCTAAAGAAATAATTGGCTGTTTATTTCAGACTAGCCTAGGCCATAAACATGATCCAAAATGAGGAGTACCCAGAAGGTTTTCCTAAGTTATTTCCATGAACCTCTGGTAAATATAAAGAAATAACATGAAATTGGAAGTGCCCTGTCAGAGGAAAGGCTGAAGTCAGGTCACATGCACTTCTACTAGCTGGGCAGTATTTGAAATGAAAGAGCAGGGGAAAGAATGTAAGAAGTAGCGAACAGGAAGAGGAAAAGACAACTTCTGTTTTCTCCCTTCTTTTTCCCTTACAGGGAAAAATTGTTGGTTTAAAAACAATAATTATAGTTATCTAAGTCCTCCTCTACTTTAACTTACTCAAGCAATAATATGTCATAGAGATGCTGTACTATCCCCAGCAGAACTAGAAGATTTTTTCTCAAGCATGAATGCAAGAAGAGGAAGACTTCAACGGACAGCTTCTATATGAAAACATGATGTAGGGTGAAGACGGAGGATCTCTTGGATGTTTCCTCAAAATCGGATTAATTCTCCTTCAAATTTATAGTTAATTGTACCATTTTTATATTACAAGCTTTAAGAAATATTTCTAATAGTGTTCAAAATTTTTAGAATTTACTAAAGCTTCTGTGCCTGCAAACAGTCTACTGAATCAGTGTAATATATATGAACACTATGCCTTGTTCTGTGTACAAATTTCAGCAGTGACTGCCATCACTCGTTCCCTGATATCAGACCTCAAGCGTTCCATCTCCTCATTCACATTAGTAAATCAATTTTGTATTGATTAGAAAAGGGGGAAATAGTAGCAGTTATAAATCTGCCCCAATTCTTTAACTACTGAAGTTTGTTCAACTGTTCCATACAGCTGTCAACTACATTTGATCTGGCACAATTAGAAAGAGATCCATTCATCTTATCTTTTTCCTCACATAGGATGAACTGGCAGATATTGGCTCAATATCCAAAGTTCAGGTAACTGGCCCACACAGCGAGCTAAAACAGCCATGGCACTTAGATTTACTGCATATGAAGCACACAGGCACAAAGGAAGAGATGTATTTAGCTTTTGATTGCTGGTTCAACCCTAATGAAGACAAATGTGTGGAACTGCCAGCTCTCTATGCAGATCAGGAGCCTTTGCCCGGTAAGCTAAGTCCTTTTTTGTTATTGGGGTCAGGATCTGTCACTGGAATACCAATATATCTCTCTTGGGCCTAAAATACTGTGTGAGGATTTCTACAAGAATTTGATATTAAGAAATATGATGGTTTTGCATGTGCATTTATCAAAAAAGAGAGCTGAGAAAACAGAAATCATTGGTATCAGGATTATGACAGATGCTATAATTGCTGACACCAAACATAGGATTTGGCTTCTTTCATGTTAGATGATGTTCCAGTTTTAGCTCTTGATTATTTATTATCTCTTCAAATTAACGCTGTGTCAGCTGAAGATGTGTACAAAATATCATCTACTGTGTGATATTACCTGAATCTTCCTATTCACAAAGAAATGTATGTGACCTAGAAACATAGTAAATTTTTTAAGAATGAAAGAATTGCAAAGACCCCCTACAAAACAGAGATAGCATTTTTAAAATGTGTTACAGTTAGTTAGCAGAGATATGCAAGAATTTAAATTGCACAGTTTTATTGATGTTGATGAGAAATTTATAGCAGAGCAAGTAATATTCCACAAAACCATGTAAGTTGCATGTTTCTCTACTGTTAGTAACACATGTGAACTGTATGATGCCAGAGAGATAATGAAGTGATTTCTCCCACCCCCCCAGGAATATGGAGAGGAACAACCAATTGCATAGAGGTAATTTGATCACTACCTATTTAAGAACAGGCTTCCCATCTATGCAGCTCATTAGAATAAAAAGAGTTGATGGGGATAGTAAAGATCATATATTGAAGCTTTTAGTTACAGTTAAGAGGTTTATTGCTAGAGACTCTAGTACAAAGAGTGTTCTGCTTAAACAGAAGCTAATAGAAAAAGACTGAAGTGGCCCAGAAAAAGGAATAAAATATTCCATGTCAAATTTTGCACACTATTCTCTAAGGAGATTTTCCTAAATATTTCATCCCATTTAAAGTTGAAACCTGAACAAATAAAACACTGAAGACCTTTTAAATCTCTGGTTTTGTGTGGGTTTGCATAGTTTTAAACAATTAGTAACCTTGTATTCATTTACTGAAAAAAATTTATTATTTTAGGGTTTTGATCTGTCAGATTCAAAATAACATTAGATGTTGAATGTAATATATGCAGGGTGTACAATGCTGAATATAATAAATCTAGAGCTTGTTAAAAAGCTCTATTTCCCCAATTTATTTATGAACAATTGGGGAAAATTATAAGTATTGGTAAATACTTTGTGAATTCAAAATTGCTAGATGTTTAACTGCATATAAAAACTCTAGAAATTCAAACAAAAAAAATTTCTAGAATGCACCCCTCAAAGCCTCTATTATGTTAAGAGCCAAATGGACATACTGTAAGACAGCATTATCCTGATTTGTAAAGACATTCTGTTTTGGGCTCTATTAGAAAGTTAAGGTGTTTTTCTTGGAAAATTTCTAGGAAAAAGATGTGTATATACTCTCCCTCAAAAATTATTCTACAGATAGGTAGTATCCACTAACCTAGGAAGTTTCTTACAAACCATTTTGTAGAGTCCAGTGATCTACAACTGGAAGTGTTAATATCAGTTTTATTCTTTGTAGCCGCAATACTTCAGTCTAAAATTTCTGTCAGCTTCTTCCTTGTATTCCAGTTTGATTACTAGAGAAAAAAAAATAATTTTTATGTGTTTGCTCTCATTATTTCTTTGAAAGAGACATCCATTTATGCAGATGTCTCTAATGAATATCTTGATAGAATAAATTCAAATAAAGACAAAAGAACAATTTTGAACGATATCAATCATTGCTAACCCCAGACAAAGCAAACAACAGGTATGTAACTTTATAGAAAGCAAAGTAAATGCTAAAAACTAAGCATCCAAATAAACAGTAACCTTTATCAGTAATGTCAATTGCCTGGTTGTAATGAAGGCCATACTAATATAATTACTTCTGTTCTAAACTAAGTGATTCCATGAGATTTAGCAAGGCAAAAATACACATCTGTGCTAATTTGGAATCTTCAGGAAAATTGCAATTCCTTTGTGAAAAACAGTGGCCACTCCCAATGCTTTCCTGCATCTACAAACACATTTGTTCCATGTTTCTTCACCTCTTTCTGAGCTCTAATGTATCCTCTGTCCATGTATCCTGCATATCCCACCTCATCTGATGGGGCATGAGGATGATTTTCATGCCCAGTAAATCCCATCACATTTATCAGCTATCATTGAATCTATTCTTAATAATTAAAACCAAACAAATGAACAAAAAATAAGCAAAATTTAAACATGAATCTCTGAAATTGCTTTTTCTTCTATCTGTAGAAATATTTCTTCTTAAAAGTGAGTGCCCAAGCCCAGACTATAGGTAACTCCCCAGATACAATTATATTAAAAAAAAAACCAAAAAAAACCAAGATCAAATGATTCTATTGCATGATTTCATTAGGTTCTGTGGGATTATCTCAGAGCTGAATTTGTATTCTGGATATTAGCTAGTATCACAGAAGCAAATAATTTTTTGATTTCTTTTCTTTAGTCTGTCCATCCTAGTGTTTGTGAGCACATTATTTTAGTTTATCTGTATCATCCTCCCTTTTGGACTTTGGATTAAAAGACATCGATTAATTTTTTTTTTATGAATTCTGTGATAATTCTGTGCAGGACATTGATGTGCATATTAACACACTGGGACAAAGTCATTGCACACAATAACAATTAACATTTTAGAAATTCTTGCTGTTAGACTCCATATTTCTTGATGATTTCTAGATAATTTCTTGATGATTTTTAGAATGCCATTATTTGTGACTGCAGTTGAAGGCATGCACCAGGAGTTGTACAGCAATAGGAGCTGTTTGAAGCTACAGTAAGAACTTTGCAATATGTATCTGTCAAAGTAACTATTGAAGATCAGTGTTACCTTCTCTTTACTAAAGGATTTTTAACTCCAGTTGTGAACTGGCCTCTTCTGGCTGACATTAGGCTCCTGTGCCACAAATCAAGTGTTTTTGTCTGGAGTCTACTGACATCCTGTTCCTCCTCCCTCCCCCAGTCAAGTCTGTTAACATAAGAATTTGAAGGGTTTAAGTGCTTAACATCTGTAGTAAGAAACATTTATATTAACAAACATATTGATCTTTATTAAAAATCACCCAACTTTATGTTTTTATATGTATGTCATTGATAAAGTATGACATTTCCTTTGCTTTGTTAATCACAATAGATCATTATTATGTGGTAGTGTACCATAATGTATTCGAGCATGGAGAAGTAGTCCCTCACTACATGATACTTAACTCTTCCAGATACGGTTCAGTCCAGAAGCTCATATTTATCCAATAATTCCTTTTTCATTAAAGTTAATGGTAAGTCTCGTGTTATCTTCCAAATGAAAGTAGTTTAGAAATGCTTCAGCTAATGTAGTCTTTTGACTTACTAGGCTTATTAGGTTAAGCGTGGCACCAAACTAGCATGAACCAGACTGGCTCAGGCATAAAGCAGTGAAGTGAACCATGCTGTTCTGCTTACATCTACTGGTTCAAACTCCTCACTCAGGCATCTTTCTACCACACTCTGTTGTGTAGGTTAGATGAACCCTGTACTTTTGACTAGATTAATAAGACCAGATATTCAACTGTCATAAACTAATTTGCTCCATTGTCTTGAGCATATTAGCTGTGTGGCTATATCAACTGAGGATCTTGTCCCAAACCTTTAATTTCACAGAAAGGTGATCTTAACTTTTTGAGACTTCTTATGTGATAAATTAGCAGGCTTAGACATCAAATAGAGCTTTTCACAGGTTTTTTTGCCATAGAACCAAATGAATATTTAAAAAATATCCCTGCCTGCTCTACTTATCTTTGATTCGTAGTTGCCTAACATTCATTTACAAACAAAACTGATTCAATAGGGAATTATGACAATAACCTCTGGAATACTCATTGCCCATGTTGCCTTTTTCTATTTAATTTACTATTTTGTAGAATAGAATTTTTGCAGAAGCTTATGAAAAAAAAGATCCTGTCAGCTATATCCAACAGCTCTGAAATATAGCACCCTACCCTGCTCCATTTGCATTCTCATACCTCCCATCTTATCTTTCCATGGAGAACCTGACAATCTACAGAGGAGACCAGTAAGAGAAAACAGTCTTGAGGGCTCCAACAGGAGGATTTCATTTGATAGTTCATTTCCTCCACGACAGCTTTTCTTAAAGCTTCCCTCCCCCATTGGAAAAATTACCTGCATTGCCTGATTTCATTACAAAGCTAAAATCACAGTGGTGTAAAAGGTTTAACTATGCCTCTGACATTCAGAAAGGATGTGATTGTATCAATTAAACTGTTCACCCTTGAAAGGCTATTGAGAGTTCTGTGGGCAAATGTTACTGAATTATCACAATAAATGATATTTGAATACATAGCACATAGTAAATTCCACAACAACAAAAAAAGGCCAATTCAAAGCAATACCTTCTGTCCTATCTTTAATTCATGTTTTTTCCCCCTTTTTAACGCGCATTAGGTGATCGCTTTCAGTTTTGCACTATGTTGGCTTACATCTGAAACAGAGCTTTTATAAATAGGATTGGGAAGAGGCAAAGAATGGCAAGGTTGAATAGAACATCTTATTTTAGTGGATTTTTGTTGTTGGGGTATGTTGTTCATCTGATAGTGAGAATGGTCCCAAACTCACCCTGAGAACTTTTACCCCATTTCCCAGCATCTCTTTTGTGTTATGCCTTCCTTCGTAGGGGTTACTTTGTATATTTTGGTTTCACTTATATAGTGGAAGTCCTTTCTCTGATCCAAAACCTTTGAAAATTAATGGGAAATATTTGCTGTGACTACACTAAGTTTTAAATTATGCATCAATAGATTCAGCTGAAAATGCTGACTCAGCAAAAATATTAGATATGTTTCTAATTTTCAGTGTGTATCTCATTTGAATACTCCTTGTGTGATTAAGGCTAAGCTCATGATTAAGTATATTAATGATTCTGGACAAAAGCAGATAATTGTGAGCACTGTGATTTCTAATCTGTCCTATGTGAGTGATCAGATCTGTGGACCGAACTCTTCTGATCTTGTTCACACAAGTAGCCTTTTAACTTCAATGAATCTGCTTATACGACCAAGGTATACAGGCAAGGCAACACTCTGGATGAATAACACAGTCTTACCTTCATATCCTAACTCCCCTAAAAGCAAAAATGCCATTGGCTAAATGCCAAAGAGTCACCGGGACAGCTCATCTACTTTCAAGTATCTGGATCTCCAGCAAGAGCAAGTCTGTGTCGTTACACTGACTTTTACGCAGCTATGTTGTCTTTCACCTGGCAGTGCACATTTAACTGCCTTGAAGAAAGGGATGAGATACAGTCTAGGAAAATTCTTGGTTTACTTCTTATCACCAAACATGAGTGATGCTATCAATTACTAATATTTTCCCAGCTCTTGTTTTAAATTATTTAAAAAAAATCCCAGGGGAAGTCCCCAAAGTAAAGTAAATAGTGCTGCAGTGAAATAAAGTTACTTTTCAGAAAACAGGTTTTCTCAGATGTCATCCCCATGTAGTAAAAGATGAAGAGAAACAAAGACATTTCAGAATTGCTCATTGCAATGAGAACACCTTTATTAGCAGCCTGATACAGCCCTTATTATTTAATGAATCCTTTTAGATATTAATTTTTCAATCAGTATGCAAACCCACCCTTTAGGACCCTTGTTCCAGTGATGTGACCTTTTTATTTTAGACATATAAAGAAATAGCTATATGAGATGCCACGATATTTGAATTCAGGCCTTTTGTTATAACACTCAATATGAATAACACCAACTTGTGAAAAGAGGTGTAAGAAAAGCTTAAAAATAAATATCTTCAGAACATTTTTTTTTCTCCCTGTTTTCCTATCACCTACGCATGAAAATAAATGACAGCCTTAGCTTCTGGGTTCTAACAATCATTCTCAAACCTACCAGAAATTTCTCATAATTATATCTTTTTAAAGGATGTACAGTTTGGCTAAATTGGGCCATTTCTATCTTGGAATAAATTTGATTCAAGAGGCAAACTGTACTGAAAATATCAGATGTTTCCAAGATCTATACTCAGATATTTGTGTATCCTGTGATGTATTTTAGACTGAAATATGTATTTCAGACTTGAATAATGTGTATTTCAGTGCTCTCTGGCTTGTATTGTCAATTGTGAGACTGAAAGTGCTTCTTATTTGCTCCTTGAATTCATGTCTGTCTAAAGCACCATTTCCCTTTGCACACACGGGTTTCCTGGGAAAGCAGACATTGTACAGCCAGCCAGGTCCCAGGTAGGAACAAGCGGCAGCGTGAGGCTGGAAGACGTTCTCCAGCACGTAACTGTCACAGAGTCTAGATGTTGTCTATATCTGCTTTACTGTGCCAGTGATGAAGGCTGTGGGAGTTGGGGCTGAATAGTTTGGAGTAGTCAAAGATAGCTCAGTTCTTGGAAAATGTTGGATTCTAAGGGTGTTCAGTCCTTAAAAAAAATTAAAATTCAGTCTTGAAGCTTGTGACAAAAAAGTTCAAGAGATAATATATGCATTCTTGAATACATTCTTGGTACGTGTGCATTGCTTATTACTCACATCCCGAATGTGACTTTGCATTTTACAGTGAATAAAAATGGTTTCCTCCTTCTGAAAAATATTAGAAAGGTTTGTTTTACACACCTGTGTTGCTGCAAGATAATAGCTTTTTTTCTTAGGCCGAAGTAATGATGCTTGTGGTTGGAAGCAGAGGAATATTCAGACCGTCGAAGTTTAGACTCCTAACTTTTACTGTCTATCCCTAGAATATACGGGTATCCATCATAGGTATTTTCTACAGCATTTGACTTTCCCTGCTGAATACATAAGGATCATATTCCTAATATAAATTAGGAATATATATATCTAACCAAAGTTAGATTGCTGAAGTGACAGCACCAGCATTCTACAAATGAGCACAGATTTATTACTGTAATCGGAGTGAGAGCAGACTTACAAGACTAGGGGGAAAAATAAACACACACACACACCCAAACCTTCTTATTTTTCCTGGTCTCTGTTAAAATGATGCAAATAACCATGAATGTTGAGATTGTGACCTGCTTCTGTTTAAGTGTTTCCTTGTTCCTCGTTTCCATGATAAACTCAGAGGCTAAAATAGGTCATTTTAAAAATTAACATAGGAGTTTTTGATGAAGTTTCTTTGGAATTAACACAATCTGGTCTCATCTGCATCACTCCCCTATATATTGTGTCATAAAGAGGCAAGGAAGCAGAAGCTCCACATAGTGGCCACAGGTGTCTCTTCTAATCACTATACTGTGACCACAGCTGAGAAAATCAGGAATGCTTTCCCTTAAACTCAAATTTCACTTAGCTGATCTGTAGTTGTGGGTTATTATACAGTACGTGGAAGGTTCTTTGCAGACTGGTCCAAAATATGAAGAGGTTTTTCTATTTATGTATTAAAGCTGATGAAAGAATATTTAATTCATTATTTCTGTTTCACATAAACATGTTTTAACTTCAAGAACATTGTAATAGTATTATGGTCTCACTAGTGAGAAAGCTTGATAGTCCTGACGTGTTCATTCATTGGGCGATAATTACATGAGTTTAAAGCTTAAGACAATCAGGTCCCAGCTTTCTTCTAAGCCACTTCATAAGTGTAAGCTCCCATTTCATTTCAAGGAGAAAATGATACACACAGAAGGAAGGAAGAAACAAACAAAAATGAGGAAATAGTCTGAGAGAGCAGAACTCAGACTTTCCAAAGAGCATGTAAACATGAAGTGTTTCTTAGAAAGGGATTCCCTACCTTAGGGGAAGGGGGCAGTACACAGGAGATCCTGCGCCCCAAGCAGCAGCCAGTAGTGCTGATTTTCTGGGAGTGGTGTCAGAGCAGAACAAACCTGTATTCTGCAGATTGCCAAACAGGGAGTTATGCAGCAGGAACGTGGTTTGGTTATGTAAGTCACCAGGACTGAAGAGACCTGTGCTCCCTTTCTGTGGTACAGTATGGGATTCAGATGAGATTTGCAATGGTTTCTACCAGGGATTGGTGCATAATGCAGGGGTTGGGCAAGAAGACAAGGAGCATTTTCTCCTGCTGACTTTTTGGTTTTGTATGTGTATTTTTTCTGAAGTTGTGGAATATGCAATCCATCTGCACACGGGACACTTGAAGAAAGCAGATGCCACTGGTGAGGCCTATCTTTGTATACAAGGAGAAAAGAGTGACTCGGGGAAACGATGGCTTAACTCGAGAAACAGCCTGATCACTTTTGCTAGAGGGCAGGTAAAACAATGAGGAAAAATGTAACTGAATCTGTGAGTGTCTTTTTGTTAAAACTTATGTTCACATAAAACCTTTCATGGACAGAGTATAAAAAATACTAATGTTTTATATTCTATATAGACATAATTTTCTCTTGTAACTAAGAGATGATTGTCTCCATAGGTAACATGTCCATGTAACATTAAGCCTCATAAGCATCGTGCAACAGTGAAACAGTTAAGTTGATGAAGTAGTTCTGAGTTGGACTAAATATACTCTAAAAGTTCTATTTTAATATTTGTTGTGGTTTAACCTCAGCCAACAACTGAACACCACACAGCCGCTCGCTCACTCCCTGCACCCCCGGTGGGATGGGGGAGAGAATTGGAAGAGTAAAAGTGAGAAAACTCATGGGTTGAGATAAAAACAGTTTAATAATTGAAGTAAAATATAATAGTAATAATAATAACCATCATAATCATAATCATAAATTGTAATGAAAAGGAAAGTAACAAAAAGATAGAGAAATAAAACCCAAGAAAGACAAGTGATGCAGAAGAAAAACAATTGCTCACCACCAACCAACAAAAGCCCAGCCAGTCCTTGAGCAGCGGCCCCCCCGGCCAGCTTTCCCCCAGTTTATGTACCAAGCATGATGTCACATGGTATGGAATATCCCTTTGGCCGTTTTGGGTCAGCTGTCCTGGCTGTGCCCCCTCCCAGCTTCTCGTGGGCAGGGCATGAGAAGCTGAAAAGTCCTTGACTAGTGTAAGCACTGCTTAGCAACAACTAAAACATCGGTGTGTTATCAACATTGTTCTCATCCTAAATCCAAAACACAGCACTGTACCAGCTACTAGGAAGAAAATTAACTCTATCCCTGCCGAAACCAGGACAATATTCCAGACTTTTAAGGCCAGGGAGGTATCAGTGCTTTGTTAAAATATGCCTGATTGGTAGAACTGATAACATTTCTGTAGGATATCTTGCCTTTGCACCTACTTTAGGCCATGACCTTTTCTTGTTAACTTTCCTGAACACTAATGTCAGTGTTCCAAGCAGAGTTTTATTTTTTCATGTTTCTAATTCTTCCACCCACTTATTGCTCTTAAACATGGTAAACATATTCTTGCTTTTTGAGGTTTAAAGGGCTTTTCCTAGAAGAGTAATTCCTGGAGGAGTTATTGGCATAAGAACAAAGTAACTAAAACGAATTTCAAATCAAAAGGACATGTCTAGCTGATACTTTACTAGACCTTACTCTTTGCTCTGAGTTTAGGTTTGGAAGATTTTTTTATTTTTGTTTTAAGGGAATCATAAAATCATTGTGAAGTACATAGGAACCTTCTTTTGGGGAGGGCAGGAGGGAGTATTTCATTGTTGTCAGCCTATCCAGATTAGTTTGTTCTCTGATGTAGAAATCTAGAGAAATCTGCTTGCAATATGCTTCATTTATTCTTTAAACATGCCTCTGTTTATTTTCTCTGCTTTTCTTTTCAGTTCTAAAGATTCTAGAAGACAAAATGGTTTTTGTATGAAAATCAAACCAAATCTTTTTTAGTCATTATGTCCTCTGTATTCCTGTACTTTCTTTCTCCATTGTGGAAGAGAATATGCGTGCCCAATGTAATGTTCTTCAAGAACTGATCAAACTGCTAGCTCAGACTTCACAAAATAAATCTGATCATAATAAAGGCAGGAGAGTAGGGCTCATCTGGCTTTAAGGAGTAATGTAGGAGATTTTATAGATTAATCTTTCTGGTGATATAGATAATAGTTATATATAATATATCTTAAAGATAATACCTTAGAGAAATCTAAACAGCAAGACTCCTTGCTACAACAGATAAAGTATCAGTACAGACTGAAAGAGGGACTGATTCCTGTTTCTTTCAAAAAACTGAACTGTCCTGAGCTTATTTTTTATTTTTTATTTTGTAAGAATGTGTGT